GGAACCGGAGATTGAACTCAGGCCCTTGCACTTGCCAGGGAAGCGCTTACTCTGAGCCGTCTCCCCGGCCCCAACATTTCTTTATATCGGGCATGTCACCGTGCTTTTCACTTATGTTTTATGAAGATAAATGACACTGGTACCTTTTGATGCGCTTATTAGCAACTCAGAAATCTTTGGTGTACATAATATTTTTTTGTCTGTTGTAAAGCAGGTTATTGGTTTTCATACTGCGTCATGTAGATTCTGGATACAGGTGCCTGATGAGAAATGATTCACAAATATTTTTCCCTTTTATGGCTTGTCTTTCTATTAATGATGAAAGAAACATTTGAAGTGTGAACATTTCTTTTTGATGAATTTTAGCAGTTTTTCACTTACTAACCCTACTTTGGTCTCATGGATTTCGAGCTTGACTCCAGGGAACATGAGGTACACCCCCCCGTGCCCCTCCCTTTTTAAATTGTGGAACATGGTGTCAGTTACCCAGGCTGACCTTGAACCTACAGTCCGCCAAGGAGCTGAGATTACAGGTGGGTGTCCCCACGCCCAGTCCCTCTGGTGCCTTTTTATAGACACTAGCTTGCCAGATCTGGGCTCCTCCTGACCTCAGCTAACCTTACTTCCTTACTCCAAACTTGGCTGGGAATTCCCAGGGTGCTTATCTGAGAGTCAGTGCGTCTTTTGCCCATAGAATTTAGTTTTTATTACCATGTCTTAGTAGTATATAATGGGATTCATGGTGCTGTCACACTACATGCATACTACGTGATCAACCCCCAACGTTGGCATTATTCTGTATTTGTTTCCACATATGGAGAATATACGCAATACTTATCCTTGTCCGACTTGTTTCACTCAGTGTCTTCTAGTTCCCTCCACTTGGTTGTAAGTGAAGGATTTCACTCTTGCTCCTGGCTGAATAGTTGGGGCTGTAACCCCATGCTTCTTTTTGCTGCCTGCTGGTCTTGGGCACCAGCTGACTTGATGCCACAGCAAACTCGGGGATGCAGGGATCTCTGGGCTGCTGGCTTCCTAGCCTTTGGCTATACATCCAGAGGGAGGCTGTTGGGGTTTTTTTGTTTTTGTGGTACCGGGGATTGAACTGAGGACCCTGTGCTTGCCAGGCAAGCACTTATTCTACTGAGCTATCTCCCTGCCCTGCTGTTGGATCTTGCAGCATAGCAGATCTAGTTTTAATTTGGGGGGGATGCCATACTGCTGTGTGTGATAACTGTACTGTTACATTCCTACCAGCAGTTTACAAGTTCCTTTTTCTCCACACCTTTGCTAGACTGATTGATTTTGCACTAAGTTACATCCCAGCCCTCTTTTCAAATTCTGAGATAAGGTCTCACTAAATCACCCAGGCGGGGCTTAAGCTTGTATCCTCCTGTTTCAGCCTCCCATTGTTAATTTTCTTAATAACAGCCACCCTAACAAGGTGTGAATTATCTCACTGTAGCTTTGATTCACATTTCCCTGATGGTGTGTGTGTAAATAAAAAATGTTAGCCATTTGGATTTCTTATTCTGAGAAATACCTATTCTGATCATTTGTGCATTTTGAAATTGGGTTATTTGGGGTTTTCATTTTTCAGAGCATATTTACGGCTGAACACTGCTTGGTTTGTTGTCTGCGTTGGTCAGTGTCTGGTGGGTGCTTGGGACAGCTTTGTTACTGCTTTGAGGAGACAGCTTCCGGAACTCCTTTATCTACCACACCAGAAGTTCTACCTTTTTTCTTGCCCAGTTTTGCCCAGTTACAAATTTTGATCATTCCTATTTGATACCATTTCTTGGGCTAGAGTCTCCTAGCCTCCTCCCCCCAAGAAATCTTTAGTGTATAGTAATAAATACACTGTTATATGGCAAAGGTGAGCTGCCCCAGATAGGGTTTGAATTGTGTCCTTCAGCGTCTAACAGTGCGACCTTACTTGGACATTCATAATCATGACCTTAGACCCAACTGAGGTAAGATAGTGTAGTCAGGGTTTGCAAGGGAAGCAATACACGACACATAACTTCTAAAATATTTTATAGTAGTCACCCAGAGAGTTTAGTATGAAAGAGAAAGATCTGTCCACAAACTAAAGACCAGAAGAATCCAGTGCGTAGTACATGCAGGGTGCCTGGGGTCCAGGCCTTTGTCCCATCCTTTCACCCAGAACTCCATTGCTTGCTGGGACCAAGGCCTACAGACAAGCCTAATTCTTACATTTTAGCTAAAAATTTAGCATTGTGGAATATTTTAGAACTATCTCTTAATTGTGAGTGTTCATCTCTAGGTCTCCAAGTAGGGGCTTTTTTTTTCTGGAGAGAGGCCTTTTGTTACCTTTATGGATTGAATGTGTTACATAGATACTGAGACTTAAAGAGGCCCCCCTCCATAATTTTTTCCTCCTAATTTGACTTGTTCTTCACAATTAAGCAGACGGTTTGCCTAGGTCGAGCCTTCAATGGTATACTAAGTGTCACCGCTGTGCAGCCGGACATTGCTGTGATACTTCTGTAGCCTGCTGTTTCTCTCTTAAGTTCTGAGGATTTATCTTTGCTGTTTTTCTCTTAGGTCTTACTGTGTACTGGGCTTGGAATTTCTGTTCTCTGTTCTGACACGCATTAATTCTCCAACGCTCCCTAGTCTCCTTTCCCCCTCCTCTGGGGACCTCTATCGTTTGGATGTTGCTGGTTCCCTCTCTACCCTCTGGGCCCAGGTTTTCTAGTTCTCTTTTTGATTCAGGGCTGCTTTCTCAAAGTGTTACAAGCTGGTTATTTTCATTTCATTAGTTCAGTCTGCAGCTGTATCATTTTTGTAGTATATTTTAGGTGCTTTGGATTTGTATTTCCAGTACTGGGAACTGAGTCAGGGTCTTGTGAAGCATGCAGGGCAAGCACCCTGCCACTGAGCCATATGCCACCATTTTTGTTTTAAGACAGAGCCATGCTGAGTAGCCCGGGCAGGGCTCCAACCTGCAGTCCTCCTGCCTGAGTTTCCCAAGTAGCCGGGGTTACAGGCATGCACCACCACTGACTCTTCTGAACATTTCTGTACCCAGTATCTTTCTTCATGGCCACTGCTGCTTCATAGCTCTGTCTTTGCCTACCTAAGAATGATTACCTATATTTTAAATATTTAACATCTCTTCCAATAACTGGGCTTTGGCTCTTCGGTTCCCAGTCTGTTACACCATATGTAGTTTTCAGGCGTCCAGTTACCCTGTTATTTTGGCAACAAGTCCAGTTCTCCTTCCAGTACCAGCCTTGGGCAGAGACTCTCAGGCACCCAGTCGTTACTGACTACTGCTTCCCTCAACCAACCATCTATTTGGTTAGAACCACATTTCTAAACTGGAAGGAAGAAATAGCAGGGAAGCGCAGGTACGGGGTTGCACCCACAGCCACAGGGTTTGAGAAGAGTGGGACACCTTAACTTCTGGCAGTGGCAAGACTAATTCAGACCACCCCTTGGAAGACCCCTCGAAAGGCAGAAGTCAAGCGATTGAGCTTCCACATGGGCTGTGACAAGATCCGCTGTGTGACTTCTGCAGTGTGGTCATGAAGGTGCTCCATGGTCCGAGCTTTGTCCCTCTTCCAGCTCGTAACTTGCTTTGCCTTGGTCCCTGCTGCTCCAAGCCACGGGGATCCTTGAAGCCTCTTCCCTCACTTAGTCAATCACAACCGAAGCCCTTGCCCTGTCTTGTGCTGTTCCTGGATTTCCCAAGTCACTCAGGTTAAGGTCACCATGTTTTTAGCTGGGGATGGAACCGAGGGCCTTTGTACTGAACCTTATGCCCAAAACTTGTTTAAATTACTTTTTGAGATAGGGACTCCTTAAGTTGCTGAATTGCTTTGCTGGGGTTGAACTCGTGGTCTTCCTGCCTCAGCCTCTCAGAATAAGGTTATCATTTTGGAAAAAAGCATTTTAAAGCAAAAGATACATTTTATCTTCCATTTCACCTGCTCGGGGCTGGGGATTTGGCTCAGCAATAGAATGTTTGTCTAGCTGGGTTCGGTCCTCGGAATCAAAAGCAAAAAATAAACTTCCCGTTTCACCTGCTCAGCCCATCGCATCTCATCGGGGCCAGCCTAGCCCAAAGGCCACCTCTCTCAAATCCTCTCTGCTCAGGGGATGGTCCTGGGCCACACTGGGCCTGTGGAGGCGGGTCACAGTCTGCACAGGCTCAGCACTAGACATTTACCACAGTCAAGCGAGGCCCAGTAGCACATGCACAACCAGCCACCCAAGGGGCTGAGACAGGAGGGTTCAAAGTTTTAGACTAGCTTAGGCAATTTATCAAGCCCTGTCTTAAAAGAAAAAAAGGGCTGGAGAGGTAGCACAGTGGCAACTGCCCGTAGGTCCCACCCCCGGTACCACTGTGGTCAAAGATGGCAGCCCTTGCTGCTCTGGGGCTGCAGATCCCCACCCACCCCAGGAAAACTGCACCCACTTCTGACCATCTGAGCTACAAACTAGCTTACTGCTGTGAGCCAGGTGGAAGAACAGTAACTACGGGACGTCTCTCTCAAATTTCTGGCCCTCTGGGCTCCGTTTTGGACAGGCTGGACTAGATGGCCTGTGTCCTGGTTCTAGGATGAAACAGCGTCACGAGTTTCCAGGCTGAGCCGGTGCCTGTGCTGCAGCCGTGCAGGCAGCTGTCACACTGCACGTGCAGTGGCAGTCAGTGGTAGGACACTGGGTGTGGGATATGATTGGTGTCTTTCTGCAGAGAAACATCATAGAAGCCTCTGAGGGTGCCAAGAGGCCCCCTGAGCGTGTGGTGAAGGTGCTGAGGATTTCCCCCACCGCTGGGCCTGTCCACAACTACAGCATCCAGACCCTGAACTCCTCAGAGCTTGCCAAAAAGGAGCTGTACCGAGAGATGGCCAAGGTGAGTGACAAGCTAATGGCAGCTGGCCAGCCACTTGTGACCATTAGGTCAGGAGGGGACTTGAGGAGTGGAGATGAGGGCTTCTCAGCTGGGGGAGCAGATGAGAGGGTCTAGCGCTGGAAGGAGAGTCCTGTTCCCCTCAGGTGAGCCAGAGAGGCCCTGTGCGGATCCTCAGAACCTCACGGCCGCAGATGGCAGGCGCCTTGCTCCTGCGGTGCCTCTTGCTTCTGCGTGGAGAGGGCAGAGTCCCCGGTGGGAAAGGCCTTCTGCACACTGCAAGCCCAGCTGCTTCACTTGTCAAAGGGGACAATAACCTGGCCCTCACAGCACTGTCACATGGTTGCCTTCATATAAGTGTACCACACAGATTGCCAGTTAACTGTCACAGTGCCTCAGCTGTTTCTGACCCCTCCTGGGTGTTCTGGCGGTGGCAGCTCAGCCATGTCCACGGCTGCCCCCAATGGTTCTCATCACCACTGCCTTCCCCTCATTTCTAGGAGCCACAGAAGAGATTCACATACTCACAGAATTACCTTTCGGGCATGGTGCAGCCTGCAGACCCCGAGGAAGAGGAGAGGAAAGCACAGGAGAAATCTCGCCAGGCCTGGCTCACAGCCAGTGGGTTCCAAGTGACCGGTCTTCAGAAGGGCACCAAAGGCTACCAAGACTTGAGGCTGCCACCTGCCCAAGAACTGAAGGAGGTGTGCAGGGAGGGGTGTGTCTCGGGTGTGTCCACAGGCCCTTCCCCTCCTGACTTGTCTGCTCCCCACTTAGGAATGGGTGGAGCGCGCGCTGTTTGCCAACGTGCTGAAGCCCACGCTGGATCGAGAGCGATGGCCCTGGGACAGGCGCCGCCTGGACTTTGAGCTATACACGAAGCCCCCAGCTTTCCTAGGTCTGCCCCCTCCACCAGCGCCCAAGCCTCTGACAGGTAGGCGACAGTGTCCGAGTCAAGCCCTAACTTGTGGTTTTAGCTACAAATTCAGGCTTTGGAGGCTCAGGAATCAGGGTTCAGAGTGAGTCTGGTGTATAGACTGCCTTCTAGTCCTGTGTGGTTCTGGGCAAATCCTTTCCCTGCTCTGGGCCTGGCTCCTCAGCTATAAAGTTGGGTGGGAGAGAAAGCTCAGGGCTTTGAGGGGACTCCCAGCTGCCTTCCAGATCTAAAGTCTGCAGGCCAGAAGAGGGAGCAGGGAGCGAGACAGGAAGCATGGGCCCAGTTGCACCAAGCCTGAGTTCTCATTGCTTCTGTTTGTGGGACTTCAGTCATTTTGAGGGTGCTACAGAACCAAGTTTGTTGGTTAACAAGAGTCAGAAATTGTGTTCAGAGAGTTACTTTACCTAGCAATAAGGTCTTCTAGAAAAAAAAAGCCTTTCCCAAAAGCCTAGCTCATAGAGCCTCTTGTGCAGAGGAGCTCTTTGTAGCAGAGCTCCGTGCAGCTGAGCTCTGTGCAGCCTCCAGGCCGAGCCCTTCTCACTTTGATATAAAAATAGCTGTTTGCCACTGTTCTTTACTGGCAACAAACTAAGAACTCCAGGTTTCACAGGGAAGTTATTTCCCAAATCACAGGATCTGTAAACCTTCCCCGTTAGCAGGGAGAGCCTGGTCTCCTCCCCACCTCCAAGTAGCTTCCAGTTCGCTTCTTGGATCCCCAGACACCCAGGGACCAGACAGGAGCTTGAGGAAACGCAGTCCTGTTAGTGCCTCCTGAGGACACCTTGCTATCCTCTCTTCATGACCAAGGCCAACCCACACCCAGTGCAGCTTCCCCTTCCCAAGAGGGGTCAAGGGTCAGGGCTCTCTCATAGCCCTGTGGCCATGCCCTAGCTGGTGGGGATCAGCCCCTCTTTTCCAAGGGGAAGGACAGGGCCAGAAGCCACTGCCAAAGGGTGGCTCACAGGGTGGTACTACTAGCTACTAAGAAACCATTCTGGGAAGAAACAGAATAGTACAGTAAGGCTAAAAAGGGACACACAAATGGTGGCATTTTACATTCTTTTTGTTAAATGGCTCCTGACACACATTTTGCTCCTAGTATCCATGCATGACCAAGTCATAGCTTCCAAGCCATTTCTTGACCTGCGGTCTGGTAGAAACGATAGCCCCTGCCTCAGACAGAGCCCTGCAAGCCTGGAGCCACCACTGTGGTATCTTCTCAACTGTCCCACAGCTGCAGTGCCAGGCCTCAGCAACTCTATGCTCTCCACAGTTGTGAGTGGTTCTCATCTGATCAGATGCAGGCTTTGGGTCAGGGCCAGCCAAGACCCTGGGCAAGGAGAAGCCTGTCCGGTGCCCACTGGCAGCTAGCTGGGATGGCCCTGAGTTCTCCATGGTGTCTGCGGTCAGCCATGGCGTGGGGGCAGGAAGTAGCACTGTCCCTGCCTCAGGACAACTTGTTGCCTCAGGACAACTTGTCCAGGGGGTGGCTACAGATGTAGGCGCGCTTCTCAAGGATCAGCTGGGCTATTTCCTTGGTCTGCTTATCCAGGTTTTCTGGAGCATCTGAGGGGAGAGAGGTAGGTGATCTTTCTGTGCCAAGATGCGCAAACAGGGCTGAGCTGGGGGATGGTGCAAAAAGCCAGTACCCTCTGTTGTGACCCTGAGCTCCCCTGAAGCCCTAGAGACAAGGGACCAGAACAGTGGTGCCAGGCCGTGGCATGTGTGCTGCAGCCAGCTGTCTGTTAACACTGAATGCTGTAAAAGGTTCGCCATCACTGGGCTAGAGGCTTCATCCCAAATAGAAAGGGCTCATCCTACTCTAAACCCGATCTTCTGGGGGGCGCAGGGTGGGAGGAAGCCTGTCAGCAAGCAGATGCCCACCCCCATCCCTGACCAGTCCTGTGGTCACTCTTACTTAGCAGCAGGGCGGGCTCTGCAGGAGACACCAACCACAGGGTTAGACCCTGAGCTAGGCACACTGCTTAGATGTGGCCAGGGAAGAGGAAGAGCCTCCCAGACGGACAGGGCAGCAGCTGCCAAGCTGCGGCCCCTGTTGAGTGCAGGGCTAGAGGCCAGTTACACACTGTCTCCTCTCTTCCCTGGCTGGGCAGCAGCTCTGGGGCCACACATGTCCCCCTGCTCTGAGCCTGGCCCTGACCCACTCTTCCACAAGTCCACCATTTACCCTTGTCCAGCTGAGACAGGCTGAAGAGATTCTGAAAATAAGCTTCCACACAGAACATGTTGGCCAGCAGAACCTGCAGAGACCAAGGTTGGACAAAACGGCTGTGGAGTCCTGGAGTCTCCCCTAACCAGCCTGTGGCCAGACCAGGTCGCATGGCTGGAGTAAAACACCCTGTTCAGAAGTCACACAACTTTGGATTCTAGTTCTGACCCTAACCCAAACTTGCTCTGTCCCTAAGGGCAAGTCACTGCACCTCTGAGGCTCCCTGCTCCCTCTAAGGCCGGTGTCATAGTCCCAGTGTCCATGGGCCACTGAGGGCCACTGCACGTAACAGGTGCTCAGTGATTAGTCCACTGCCCCCAGCAGGGCCAGGCATGGGGGAGGGGATGCTGGCTCTGTGGACCACTATCATCTCTTTTTTTTTTTTTCCTTTTTTTTTTTTTTGACACAGGGAATCAAACTCGGGACCTTGCACTTGTGCCACTGAGCTATTTTCCTGGCCCCCAGCCCCTCTCTTCCAGGCTGTTGACCAAAGGTACTGGCCCTGTCTCCCAAGCAGCAGGACCAGCCCAGGGCCCAGGCCACCCTACAGAGCGATGCCACTTGACTCTCCACTTTTCCAGCCACTGATCTCATTAAAGTGCAGCAGGACAGAGGCCTGGCTCAGAGGTCACAGTGTTGGGCTAACTTCAGTCCTAACTTAAACTCACTTTATCCCCCAGAACAAGTGTCACCAAGCCTGTTTCCCAAGAGAGGCTAGGTAGGCTCACCTCATGGTCGTGGTCCCGGAGCCCAATGCGGATGGAGCGGCTGGCCCGTGACAACACAGCCACCATGCCATACATGTTGATGAGGATGTTGGCCACCCGCTTCAGCACCAGCTGCTCGTCCACAATGCTCTAGGAACACAGCTCAGCGTGGAGAGCTGCTGCCTGTTCCCCACGTGCCTCAGCAACGTGGGACAAGGACAGTTCCCCCCAGGCTGGGCAACACCAGACTCCCAATGCCCACGTGGTCCCTTTGGGCTGGGGCCGAGGTCAGGTGGGCTCCTAGGACCTCGGCTGGCTGAGGCTGATGCTTGGTGTACTCCAGAGCCCCCTGGCTCTGCACCTGGACTCGGACCCCCACCTGGAAGCTGTCCAGGAGAACCCAGTGGGAAACTCAGCCAGCAGGGACCCCACTACACCTTGGGACCACTTTTCCAAGGCCTGGTTCCAAAAGTGGGCAGAGTGGTCTGTGGCTGATGTGTATGTTCAGGGCTGGTTGGGCTCCGGGCCTGGCAGAGCCTACTCACCTTTCCAAAGCGGCGCAGCAGTGCCTCAACTGTCCGGCCAAAAAAAAAGACATTCTGCTCAAGCTTTGTGGCACTGTCCTGCTCGACCGAAAGACAGGGCTGTGCTCAGCACTGCACCCCACATGACTACCCAACCCAGGCTTCACAGGCCGGATTGGGGGGAAGTACCGTGGCACCTGCCCAAGTGCCCTGGCCCTGCTGGGACAGCAGCACGCAAGAGCCTGCCTGCCTTCCTTCCCCAGGCCAAGCCCTCTGCGATGGAGCCATCTTGTGGGACAGCTTATTCTTGCTGGGTCCACTCACCCCAAGACTAGGATGCACCAGTCCAAGATCGCCTGTCAGGCCCATGTCCACAGCTTGGCCCAGAGAGTCCCGAAGCCTCCGGCCAATGGTCTCCATGACTACACCCATGTTGCCCCGTTTCAATTCACTGCAGAAAATCCACAGTGCCATGGCTCCAGGTGGCACTGCCACTCCCACTCCCCCTGGGTCCCTGGAGCGCCAAACCCCTTCCTCATCTGGGCACGTGGGGCTCATGGGGGCAGGGTGACTGCTGGTCTGTTATAAGCAGCTGCTCTCCAGGGACCCTATGCACACAGCCAGCTTCCCACTGCTCCTTCCCAGTTAAGGAGGATACAAATGCTATCAGCAACCTGTAGTAGGGCTCGGGCAGGGCCCTGGCATAAGGGTGAGGAGCAGAGAAGAAAAACTGGCCTCAGGGCTGGCCACCTGTTTTGAGAGGCACCCCTCCTTCCTCAGCTGACACACTGGGTACCACAGTGTGGGAGCCCGTGGCTGCCTAGGGACATAGGGTGTCAATAGGGCAGGGAGGGCCTCCCTCACTAGGCACTGGCCCCTCCCATTGCCCTCAGACAGGGTTGGTTGAGCTCCAGCCCCCCGCAGTCCCCACCCCATGCTGCTGAGCTAGGATGTGCTACAAGCTGCCTCCTCATCCCACTGTCCCCTCCCATCCCAGGGCAGATCAGGGAACGGCACATACTTCATCTTTGTGGTCAGGATCCGGCCAGCATGCTGTAGGCACGTCAGAGCAATAAACAGCCTGAGGATCTCGTTGGTTCCCTGTGGCCAGCAGCATGGAGGTCACCAGCCATACCCCACCCCACCCCACTCCCAGGCAGCCCCATGGTTCTGTGCATGCCAGGCAGGCGGTGTCCCCAGTCCCTCACTGCCATTTCAGCATGGAGAGTGGGACTGTGACTAGGGGTGGAGAGCTGACCAGAGGACACAGCCTCCCATGGGGCCACTGCCCGCCCAGTTATGGCTGGGTCACTTTTCTTTTCAAGCCCAAATCCTCAAAACCAACACCAGCTTTCCCTGGTAGTGGGGCTGCCAGTGCCCTGGGCATGCCCAGCGTGGACACAGGTCTACTGCCTCTGTTGGAGTCAATGCCTCAGGAAAGCCAAAGTGCACGGGACAGCAGCAGCTGGGAGCGCGAGTGCCAAGGGCTGATGCCCGGGGCTCGTGTGCACCCCTTCCTCTCCACGTGTCCTGTGGCAGCAGGGCCGCACGATCTCCACGTGGCTCGTATGCCCTCACCACCTTGCTTCGCTGTGTGCCACTGCTGCACGCCACTGCACCTTCCCTCCTGCCCTCGGCTGGCACATAGGGGGTCAGCCTTCCCTGGGGCACAGCCCAGATGCCACACCTCCACCCACACACTCCCAACTAGGACCTCCTGCAACCAGGCCAGTGGTGTAGGCTCAAACCCTCTGTAAAGCTCTGTCCCTTGCAGAGCCAAGGTCAGTCCAGCCATCTTACCGGCCTTCCCTGCAGAGGATGGGCCTGACCTCTGGTCCCAGCAGCCCTGAGACAATTCCTTCACCTAGTTTCTGAAGTTCTCCAATGGTGCAGCTCCGCCGGTGTCCCTCATCCTCCCTGGGACCCTGACCCTCTCTACCGCTAGTGCCACTCTGCAGATTAACCACTGCCCAGACAAGACCTGCTTGGCCCCTCTCCAGTCCCCTGGGGTTCGCCGTGGGTCTTGTCAGAGCCTGGCCCCTTCCTACTCCCTGCTCCTCTGCCCACACTCCCCACCTTGCCCTGGCTTCAGGCCTTTCTGTCTGCACCTAAGGGCCACGCACGTTTGTCCACAAACCCCAGCCTCCTCTAGATGCACATGGCGCCCGTCCCACAGCGGCCCCCCTGTGCCTTCCTAGAACACCCAGTGTCCCAAGGTATCTGCACCCCATCCCCTCCACACCCAGCATGTTGCGACTGATACTTTAGGCTGTGATTGTGTAAAGGGCAGAAATAGGAGGTGGCAAGATGTTAGGGGGACAGCCTCAGAGTGTACCCCACTGCCCTGCAGCAGTGTATTGAGACAGAAACCAAGACCCACACAGTGTATAATGAAAATACTTGGGCCTGCGGCTGGAACCAAGGTCTCCTGCTAGAGGTTTGTTCTAGAAGCAACATGGCCAAGACCCATGACAGATGACCAGGAAGCGACAGGTTCAGTTAACAGGGGGCTTAAGAACACAGCTAAGTGACTGACTGCCTGGCCTCGCCCCACTGCAATGCCTCCCTCTGCAAAGTGGGCCCATGAACAGAAGCAGCCTGCACTGGGGAGCCCTGCTGCCCCCCACAACAGCCCACATCCAGGAAGGCACGGTGGCATGGGGACACACAAGGGAGGTCTGCAGCTGACCACTCACCTCAAAGATCGGGAGGATGCGGGCATCACGCAGCATGCGTTCGTAGGGGTAGTCCTTCATGTAGCCCGAGCCCCCCAGGATCTGCAGCGCCTCACTCACACACTGCCAGGCCGCCTCGGAGCTAAACACCTGCCAGGGGACACACACGAGGTGAGCACAGGGAGCTGGGGCCTGATGCCTTCAGGGAGCAGGAGCTGGCCTAAAGCATGAAGGCTGTGTGGGAAGAACCTGGGCTCTGGGGTCGGATTCACCCCAGGAGGACGTGGCTGCAGGCAATGGTTTGCCTCGCTGACAGCACTGACCTTTCCTAAGGCTGCTACGCCAGCACGACCTTTTACATCTCTGTGCTGCTCAGCTGGGTCGAACCTGTGCCTTTAAAACCCACCCAGAATTACCCCTCTCCAAGGAGTGACCCACCCTGCCCAGCCCCAGCCACTCTGCATGATTAGAGCTTGCTTCTCCCTTCACCCTCAATGAGTGACCTGAAGACACTTTTCAGGTGGCCTCAGGCCAGCAATGGCGAACCTTTCCGAGCTTTCACTGATAGTCTGCTGTGGCACGCCTGACACCACTGCTCTAGGCTTAGCACCTGAAGAGGGTCAGGACACAGCCACCAATCACTGCTGGAGGGACAGGAGGATGTGACCATGAGCTAGAGCCACGGAATCCTGCACAGCTGCACCTAAAGATGCACTTCCCACCCTGCCCTGCGCTTCCTGCCACCTCAGAATGGTCACCTCTCCAGGCCACCAGACCTCTCTGAATCCCTCTTTTTTTTTTTTTTGCGGAACCGGGGATTGAACTCAGATCCTTGCATTTGCCAAGTCAAGCGCTTATCCTACTAAGCCATCTTCCCAGCCCCTCTGAATCCCTCTTGAGAGATCATTTTCAGAGGCCCCCTGCAGGGGCCCAAGGAAGGTTGCTGTCCTTCTCAGTGTAAGACAAATGACCTGTGAACAAACAGCAGGAAACTCTGGTATCTGCCTTGCCAAACACTGTAAAAAGGCAGCTGTGATCTCAGAAGAAGGCCACCAACTCAGAAAGACCCTTTCTGCAGGAAAGCCCAACTGCTAAGTACCCAGATGTGAAGTTCTACAACCTATCTTGTCTCCTGTGGCGCTAGACCACCAGTCAACCAGTATAAACTCAGCATACACCTCTGGGGACACACTGAGTTGTGCTACAAACTGACACTCAGCTGGGCACTATTCTTTGTCCTTCCTCCCAGCTGCACACTCAGCTGGGCACTATTCTTTGTCCTTCCTCCCAGCTGCACACTAGGGACCCCACCTGTCCCTGAAGAGCCGCATATCCTGGATTGAGGATGAGCTGACCTATAAGCTAAGGAAAAGAGGATGGATTCAGAACAGTGGGACATCTGTGTGCGCCTGGCTCCTGGCAGGGAGGACTACCTTCACCATGGCTGCCTCCACGGAGCAGTCTGGAAGCCCTGGCTGGTCCAGCATCCCCGCGGTGAGGTAGGCCATGCTTTCCATCACATATGCCTTCTGAGCCATCAGTGCAAACTTCTCCTAGAGTGTTCAGAAAAAACACAGTCATGGGCTGAGACCGAAGTCTGACAACCAGGAGAGAAGCTGATGAAATCAGAAGCGTCCCTGCCCAAGAGAATCAAACCAGCATTAACAACAGGAGCCTGTGTCAACCAAGCCCTGTCCAGTCCTCTGCAGAGAAGCACCAGGACAGAGACAGCAACAAGCACACGCTTCACATCCACACGGTAGAATCAGAGCCTTCAGTACCTGGATTAATCCAAATTCACTCAGTTTCCTGTTGAACTGCTTCCTTGTACAGGCGTATTCAGCGGTCATTTCTGAAGAACAGAATCATTAGAAAGAACTGGAACCTGATTATGCAAATGTGATGGCTGAGCCCTGGTCTCCACCACCCTTTGATCCCACCACAGCATGTCTGCGACCACATGCCCCCAAAGCCTGTGACTGGTGCTCCAGCTCTGTGGGTCCAAGGCAGGACGTCTGCTCCGATGGGCCCAGGCAGCACAGTAAGAGCCCGGGGTCACTGTGGCCCAAGGAGAGCATATGGGTTCTGAGCCACACACCGACCTGCACCCCGGCCCTGCTCTTAGCAGAGGGGCCCGGGCCAAGCACTCCACCTCCCGCTATGAAGACAGGAGAAGCAGCAGCACCTGCCTTCAACATGGCCCTGGGGCCACATTCCGAGTACCCTGAGTGATACGCCAGCCTCCACCAGGTCCTGGCAACCCCGACCTGCCCAGACTTCAAGCTCCAAGTGTTTGCGGGGAAGCCCCCATCACCCAGGGCTCCACACCCACACATTTCTGGGCTGTAGGATCTCATGAGAGGTTCTGCCCCTGGTGCTGACTGCCAGCACTCTGCAAAGCTCTTGCAGGAGCAGAGAAGCCCTGAGTGCCAGGCAGCACTGGTTAGGTCCAGGCGTGGGTCTGTGGCAAGCCACCTGCCCATGTGAGGCCTCATTTGCCTCAGCTACCACACTGAGGAAGGAAACCCATCAGAGCCTTTCTATGCCCACCGTGCCCTGACTCTGAGAAGCACAAAGTGTGTTCTCCCCAGAACCTCTCCTTCCCCAAGGTCACAGCCACACAGCAAGAATGGCTATTGCGCAAGGGAAAATCCTGGTTCCACACACAAAATGAAGGAAAGGTCCAGCAGCCAAGGGTCCTGGGCTCAAGCCTGACCCCACTCCTCACTCACAGTGCAATCACCCACGAGACAAGGATCCACTAGGCTGCCATCAGGCCCAAGCTCACCATGTGGCTCTGCTTTGGACAGAATGCTTGGCCTCCTCCCTTCTCTGAGCCACTAAAACCAGAGTGTTCAAATACAGGGACCAACCCTTGGGTCCAGCTGAGGACAAAGCCCAGATGCTAACCCTGAGCTGGCCCACTGTCCAGGCAGCCTGGCTCAGCGCCCACCCACTGTGTAAAAGGACAGCCTCCTGCAATGCGATACCAGCACTGCAAAGGGCTCCTGGCCCCGACTTACCTACCAATCAATTTCTTGATCATGCTGGCCACTAGCGTGCCCATGCTGAACCGCCCACTGTTGAGGATGTTCATGGCCAACTATGGGGACAGTAAGAAGAGCCCGGGGGCACTGATGAGGGCACAAGAAGTAGACCCACCCAAGTACTTCTATTTTCCCAGAAAACTACCTAAAAAACAAAGGCAGGGATCGGCTGGAAGGCAATCGACACAAACCAACATGGTTCAGTTACCACTGCTACTCCCACCACATCCTTGCAGCCTGCGCCACTGCACGATCCTACTCCAAAAGCTTAGGGGAAGGGAGCAGAAACATGGCCCAGCTGGGTATACACTACAAGCTGCTCCGCTGTGTTCCCTGCAATGCCACAGGATCAGAAGCCACAGTTCACAGATGGAGAAGCCTCGGCTCAGGGCAGTAAGCGATGTTCTCAAGGCCCCACAGCTACTGTGTACCTCACACAAGCATGAGCCAGTGAGCTCAGCCAGAGGCCACCACGTCCCTGCTCTTCCCCCACCTGCTGTCTGGCAGAAGGACAGGCACACACCCTTACCACGCTCACTGCACCACAATGCCACTGTCCTGGAAGCTTGCCCTGACCTGCCACAGAGGGCTCGCTGCAGGGGGCCAGTGACACTGCAGCCCACTGAATCTCACCCCATCCTTTATTGCTTTATGATCTCCAGATTCACCAGAGTGAATATTTAGGCTAAGCCTCAGGAGCCCTACTGGTAATAACAGCAGAACTTTAGAAATCTTTTTTTCTCTGTATACTAAAACAACCACTTTTCACCAATTATAATTAAAAATATAGTACAAGGGCTGGTGAGGTAGTTCCATGATGGAATGCTTGTCTAGTATGTGCAAGGTTTGATTCTCAGCACCACAAGAAAAAAGGAAGTGTTGGAAGGCCTGAGAAGAGGTGCTCACTTCCTGCCAGGAGGACCACAGTCCTGCCTACCTTTCGTGTAGGCACTTGGCAACAGGGACAGGAATATAAAACAGGTCACGCCTCTGATTCAGGAGATTTGCTGGTGTGTTTAAACTCAGGGAAGAACTAGACAAGTGTGTGAGGATATGCACAAGCACACAGACCCCACAACGTGACTCCAAACAGTTACAAAGTCAAAGTGATATATTATGACCTGGGAACATTAAGTAGGTACAAGCTATGAAGACACACTGGGCACCATCAGTCACATATATTTATCAGCATAAAGACTTATGATTTATTGATAAATGGAAAAAAGGCTATCATACAGAATACACAAAAAGCAAATGCTGTGTTATTCTGAACAATCTAAAAAGCACCAAATGTGTGACCAACAGCAACTCCACACATATGGTGAGTGTATGTTTAACTTCTGAAGAACCGCCAAACTGTGGCTGTTCTTATTTGTTTCTACCTGCAGTGTTTGAGTTTTAGTTTTCCATCTTCACCAACATTTGTGGTGTTGGGATGGGCTTTGTGTGATTTAATTTTGTTTCTTTGCCTTTATTCTCTAATTTGCAAGCCGCATCTGGGCTACATAAACAATAAACCCCATCTGGCTGTACACAGCCTAGTCCCTTGTTTGTCTTTCCTTTCTGGCCCTTTGTTCTGCACTCCTGAGCAGCCAGCCATGCCAGGAGCCCTGGCTAAGCAGGGATGACTTCACTTCCAGCCTCATGGCCCAGATGGGTGCAGCTGCTCAGGGTGACACCAGGGCAGAACAACAGAAAAACGGCCTCATTTAACAGTAAGCAGAGGATGGGAAAAGATGTTTGTTCTTCAACGATGGTAGGCAAGTAGCTAATAAGCACACCAAAAGATGCTGAGCAGGTTTGGTCATTAGGGAAATGCAAATTAACCCCGCACTGAGATACTATCACTTCCCTCAGCAGGATGGGGGTGAATTTCAAGAGTGGACAGTAATGAATGCTGAAGACAGGTGGGAACTAGTAAGAACAGCCAGTTTGGCAGTTCTTCAAAAGTTAAACATACACCACCATATACCCAGCAATTTTACTCCTAAGTACGTTACCAAATGAACAGAAAATACGTTTTCCATATAAGAACTTGAATGTGAATGTTCAAAACTCCATTACTGAAAATGGCCAAAGTATAGAAATAACCCAAAGAAGGCAAAAATGTGGTCTATCCACATGCTGGAATATTTATTATCCAACCATAAAAAGGATATAAGTACTAATTTGTAATATAGAACGTGGACAAGATTATCCTGCCAAAGCAGCCCATCATGAAATATTCTGTGGTTCCATTTAAATGAAAATGTTCCCAATAGCAAAACCACTGAAGAACAAAGTAAGACAGCCATTGCCAAAGGATGGGGATGAGGTGGGGTTGGAAGGTCCGATTTATCTTTTGGGGGGGTGATGGAAATAGAGGTGACAGCTGTATAACATAATAAATACAACAACTCACACATGTGTTTTAAAATGGTGAATTTTATGTTATGAATTATTTCTCAAAAAAAGTTCCCAAGTCGGGGAAAAACACTAGGGTAAGGACGCAAGACCAGGGTGGTGCAGTCCTAAAACCTGAGCTTCTCAAGAACCTGCTGCCCTGTTTCCTACTACCCACTGGGGAAGGGGATCCAACCGGCCCTCACTCAAGGAGGAAGACCCTGTGACAAAGGAAGACCCTGGTCCTCACCAGGACTCCCTCCTCTAGGAGTGAGCTGACTTTCCAGTCTCCAAGTTTCTGATTTCCCGCCAGGGAGATACTCCTGCTTACAGGCCAGAGAAGCTGGGATGGAACAAAACGTGGGACCAACACGCCCCACATGTGAAACTGCACACCATTCACACGCGCCTGCACCAAAAACTCACCTTAAAGCCACCTCCAACTTCTCCAAGGACATTTTCCACAGGCACTTTGGTGTTTTCGAAGTGGACTTCACAAGCTGTAACAGGAAATGTGAGATCCTATGTGACAAATGTAAACCACTCCGCACTTGGCCCGCAGTTCATCTGTCCATTTGAGCACGCGTTCACACACTCTTTAAGCAACAGGGTGGCCAGGACAGAAAGGCGAAGTTCCTGCTTTGCTCCTGTCTTTGCAGAGCTTGTATGTGGGTCCCTGCCCCCATGCTAGGTTTGGCCAGTGCAGTGCAGCCAATCTAACATGAGCATGGCTTTTAGATGCGTGCACCTTCCGCAGTAATAAAAATACACAGCCAAATGAACCAATAGCCAGCCTACAGTGTGCTACCCCAGGAACCCAAGGACTGTGAGGAAACAAAATACCCTTGCTGTGAGCTGAGCTGAGCTACGTCAGGGAGGTAGGAGCCTTGTAGAGACAATGTGAGGATGGCGCAGACAGGAAGGCAGGGCAGGGAGAGGTATGGTGTCTGCATTGTCTACAAGTCTTGTCACATAAGCATTGCGATTCCTGGCACTGTCCACCACAGAAAAGGAGGTTCGGATGTGTCTGGGCTCAAGGGAAGCCAAGCCTGGCACAGCAAGCTAGAGTCTGCTAACTGTTCCTTCTGCTACTGCAAGTATGCTTGTAGAGAGTAGAGCAAAATGAGATGAAATCACCGTCCGACTGGCTTCTAGGTCAGACATACGGTTGGCAGTATGTGGGCTTCAGGATCAGGCCCTCCTGCCAAATGCTGCGGGGTACAGGCAGGACCCCACCTCCTCCTCTAACCTTATCTTGTGCCAATTGCTGCCCAGACCTCAGGGCGCAGCAGGCCCTGCAGAGCTGCTCTCGCCACCCCTTCCTGCCCACCCATCTCTAAGCAGCTCCGGGTGCACCTTTACCAGCAGCTCCAGGCTTCGTGCTCAGGCTCTTGGGATCTCTCATCCCTCCTTCCTGCAGCTGATGAAATGACAGCCCAGAAGAGATGAGGTTGTTCAAAGCCACGCAGCTTCTGCGTGTTGGGACTCAGGCTAGAGCTCGGGAGTCTGTCTCCCCGCAGCCTGAGCAGAGTGTGCCAAGTACTGCTACCCTGTGCAGAGGTGGCCTAGAAATGCCGAGGACAGCATTGTGTGTACCCTTGGGACAGGCACTGTGATATCTGAACCAGGACAGCCAAGTGCCATGAGAACTTCATAGCAGCACTAGAAGGGTCAACAGGAACCAGAACACCGGCCTCCAGGGAACCAAGTGCTTCCAGGGACAATGCGTGGGTCAGGGAGGGCAGTGGAGTAAGAGGATAGAGGTGTCAGGGAAAGACAGGAGGCCCGGCACAGGATGTCTGCCTGAGACACCCGCTGCCCTGCCTCTGTGGGTCTTCTGCCTCCTCCAGCCATGGTGCACAGCCAGCGTGGGCTCAATGAATGGTCCACTGGCAGAAGGCCATCCGCCTCGCCAGGAAAGCTCAGGCAGCCCTCAACTCAAGCCTGCTAAAATGCCCACTTAAAGCCAAAGGGACGTAAATCTCACTTTACTTTGGTATTTGGACAGAGTAGATGGGTTGCTCTTTCCTCTCTTGCAGGCATGCACACTCACATGCACGTGCATACATGCACACTTACTGTTAGAACCCCGAATGCCCAACTTGTCCTCAGGCTTCCCATTAGTGATTCCACCGAAGTCTCTTTCGACTATAAAAGCTGTGATTTTGTCTTTTACCGAGCCATCAGAATCAGCCACCTCAGTCCTTGCAAACACAGTGAAAACACTGGCCAGGCCTCCGTTGCTGATCCAGACCTGAAGGAAGACAGCAAAAGGTCTCTGCAGTCACCTCTCGGGTCCCTCTGCCTGCCAGCTTCAGCTGCCCAACGTTCTGGGGAGACACCTCAATGCCTGGCTCTACAGAGGCAGCTAGCTCCCAGGTCCACAGCAGTGCATCATAGCGAGCTTGTGTGTGTTTGGAATTTACTTATTTTGTATTTTTGAGACAGGTCCTCGAACTCAAGTAATCCTCCTGCTTAGCCTCCAGAGTACTGGGATTGCAGGTATGCATCATCATACCCAGCTGTGTGGTTTGGGACTTCATAGAGGAAAGTTTTAAGCAAACTCATAAAGTCGCTCGTGGAGGCAGCAAGCAGAAGTGTGGGGATTCCAGAACCAAAATCTCCTGCTAGAGTCCTTGCAAGACCTCTGGCATATCACTTAGCCGCTCTGAGCTGCAGTTTACCTTGCTGAAAAAGAGTAGCACCCACCCAGCAGGCGGTCAAGACAGGTCAAGGGAAGACGTGCAGATCGGCAACAATTCCTCAGGCTGGAAAGTGGGTCACCAAGCGGGGGTGAAGGTCCCTGCAGGGGTGGAGGTCATGGCAGACCTGACCAGCAGACAGGCAGGGCCGTACCTTGGAGCCATTGAGGATGTAGTGCTTCTTGTCTTCACTTAACGTGGCTCTGGACTGGATGGAGGCAGCATCGCTCCCGCTGCACACAGAGATGTGGTCAAGGTAGAACAGTGCAGGAATAAGTGAGGTGGCTCAGGGGACTGGGAATACGCGTGAGCAGCACTTGGTTACGGAGGTGGGCAAGCTTTACACACCCAGGTTCAGACATGCTCGGCTTTCCAAGGTAGAGGACATCTGTCCCCCTGCACTCCGCCGCAGGAACATGACCACAGCAGGCTCCCAAGGGAGTGGGCAGTGACCAACTTGCCGTGAAGGCCCAAGTCCTCCGCCCGGCTCATTCCCACAATGTGGCCTTGGGCTGATCACAGCACCTTGCTGGATCTGAGCTCCTAACAACCCCAAATCCTCAGAGAGGAGTGTCCCTGAATGTCCAGGGGGCACAGGCTCACAAACACTGACTCAGCAGGCGCTATCAGGTTATTATTTCAGCAAAAAGAAGTCAGATTAAGAAAACTGGTAAGAAGGGGATGGGCTGATGCTTCTCAAGATTTCAGACAGGGATGAAAACCCAGCCAGCTCCTCCACACTAGCAGCAGCCCTTTGTCTCAGTGACTCTTGTAAAATGTCCAAGAGGTACAGACCTGCCTGGCTCCGTGAGGCAGAAGGCAGCGATGTGCTCCCCAGACGCCAGCTTGGGCAGGTATTTGGCCTTCTGCTCCTCAGTGCCGACCAAGATGATCCCCTAAACCAAACACACAGGCTAACTACACCATCAGGAGAAGAGAACAGGGCATGCGCATGGGAGACACCACTCTCCTGAGGACAGTATTTCCTTCATGCGAGAGCAGGAGCCCACAGCTCAGGCAGGACAAGGGAGCCACGCTGCTAGACATGCTCCAGGGCGGTAGCCACATGACCTGCAGAGCTGTGGGGTCAGGGCCTCTTCCATTGTCCAGACAGGTAGACCTGGACAAGAAATGTCCCTTCTGTGAGCTTCTACATCATGTCCTACAAATGGGGACTCCCCACTCCAGCCAGGTGGTCTAAATGATGGTAGGTGAAGACAGGAACACTGGCACCACACCCAGCAGAGAAGGTGGCCAGTCCATGTCAGAGCTGTGCCCTGTCACCACATGGCTGCAGTGAAGGCAGTCCTGGCAGAGCAAGCGCTCACTCGGCTCTCTGCGACATCTATACTGAGCAAAGACGACACTGATGACAATGCCACTGAGAGCCCCATGGCCTTCAAGCTGTCCCAACATGCTCTAAGCCTTTTGGGATGAGGAAGACATGTGGATGAACAGCAGGACATGAACTCACTGCCTGCCCTGCATGAAAGCTCGCCTTGGACCTGGGTCCTGAAAGACGGGTCAAACACAGAGGACAAGGAGGAGGCTTCAGTGCAAAGGGACAGTGAGAGCCAAGGGCCTCTGTTCACATGGCCAGGGAGGTTGGGGCCGCAAGAGTAGCTGGCCTCGCTCTCCTCCAGGATCCCGAGCCATCAGGCTGGACTCATCAGAGAAGGGAGTGAACCCCTGCCTTCCACCTCCTCCAGGAGAGCCACAGCTGACCTTGAGGCCAATGGCCTGGTGCGCTGCGAGGGTCACAGTGATGGATGCGTCCAGGCTGATGGCCTCCCCCAGCCGTGCATACATGGTGTGGGAGAGGCCCAGGCCACCTAGGAGAAAGAGCAGCACTGGTCACGGTCTGGCTGGACTTTTCCACTAACGGAAGTGGTTTCACTGAGGTTTTTCTTCCTAATCATAAAGTAACACAGATCACCAATTTGTTGTGGTTTGTTTTTTTTTTTTTTTACCAATTTGTTTTTAAATGACATTACAGAAAGATAGAAAACAAGTTACCTATAAGCTTATATTTCTGCATCCCTGTAGGCTTTTTAGACACACGTATCTTTACACAGCACCTATGTACACAATAAATCACCTTATGTGACACGAGTTCCTTCTACCAGATGTGCATCTTTACGGTGCCCCACTGCCCACTGGGTGGGCCCCAGGACAGGGTTTCTGTGCCTCCACTCCGCCAACACTTGGGGATGGCTCATTCTCGGCCACACACACAAGAGGTTCTGCAGCAGCCTTGGACTCTACTGCCCAGATGCTCGGCAAAACCCGCCCCACAGTTCTTGCAACCAGAACCATCTCTGGACCTTGCCAAACGTTCCCTACATGTTCAGTTCTGGGAATCACCCGTTTTGGAGTAAAAATACAAAAGGTTTTGAAAGAGAAAGATTAAAACTTGCACTGAACTTAAATACTTTGTATTTAATCTTTGACTTCCAGAGAAGGCTGGAAGCCACGGGTTCATTTTGCTAATAATAACCTGAGGCTGATAAATACCAAGGCTGGCTTTGAACCTGAGGTACCAGTGTGCAGCCTACCCACAAGGTTCACCATTCACACATTAAGGACCATCGTCCCTGCAGGTGTGCAGTGTCCTGCTGCTACGCTGTCCCTTGGCTCTGAGCTAATACCCCACCCCACCCGACTTCTGTCTCAATCCAGAACACTTTTGCTCTTCCTCCTTTCATACATTAAGGAGCCAGTTTTAGCTGGGAAAAAAAATCAGATGTTTTCCCTGTAGAGTATGAGAAAGATCATGGGAAGACATAATCACAAGGGACAGCAGACATGCGGGGAAGGAGTCCAAGTCACACATGGGGGCTCTGGGCGCCAGGCAGGACCGAGGGAGGAGCTGGAGGCGCAGTCAGCAGGAACGCCTTGAGCTCCACACGGTCCTTCCCCTTCTCTAGCCTCAGGAACCAGCTCCCAAGCTCTGGGCTGCAAACATCAGGCAGCTGCTGGGCCTTAGGTTTGTATACTGAGACAAACTGAGGTGAGCTCTGGCTCCACCTCCTTCTACAAAGTAATATTCAGCATTCAGTGTGGCCACACATGATGAAAACTGTCTGGCTGGACTCTTCCACTAACGGAAGTGGTTTCACTGAGGTTTTTCTTAAACTTAAGTCAACTCTCATGCTGCAGATGGCAGGAAAGGCCTGGTTTCTGCACATCCTCCCATGGATGCAGAGTGGGGTGACTCGGGGGAGGAAAAGGAATGCCTTGGGGATGCCTCGCGTCCCCTGTGAGCGCTGTGCTTCCTGCTGCAGGGCTATTTTGGACGAGGTAAATTATCACACATACTTGTCATCACAGAATGACAAGACAAAAAAAAAAAAAAAATGCAAACAAAGGAATCAACCTGATTAATACACAAGGGAAGGAAATTAGGCATCACATTAATGTACCCTTAATTTTAACCTCTGCCTGTCTGACCCTGGACCAGCTCTAGAGTATGCTCCAGCAAGAACGTACAGACTCAAGCCCTGGTCTCCTGCCAACACCCACTCCGCTGAGGGGAGGGGCGGCCCCACAGTCTCCAGAGATGAAGCAGGCAGGAGGGCAGAAGAGCAAAGCAAGCTCACTCTGCTGTGGCTCACTGTGTAAACGCTTATGTCAGAGGACAGCTGGGAAAGGCCCTGAATAGTACACCTCCACACAGCCAGTGACAACCAGGCACACTCAATCCTTAACGCACCACCAACCACCACCTCCCTGCACCTCCGCTGCAGGCAGCCAGGGCAAAGGCTCTGAGGGGTCCCACGCAGGTGAAGGCTGTAGTTTCTGGTGTCAGCTTCACACCTAGCTGCAAACTTACCCAGAGGCAACCCTCTCTGAATAGGAACTTTTCTGGACAAATGTATAGAAGCGGCAACAGCAAAGACTAGTCCCCTACCTACCATATTCTTCTGGGACCTGCATCCCAAAAAGCCCTAGGCTCTTCAGTTTCTCTAAAGTGTCATCTGGGATCTTTCCTTCCCGGTCAATTCTTCCAGAGTCCACTGTCAAGAGGAAATATCTTAATTAAGCACAAGAGAAGTCACCTATGCTCATTTAAATAAAAGCACATACAAAGCTTTCTGTGTAGCTTTAATTGCAGTGTCAGAAATTTCTCAAAACTAGAAATCCCCTAGTCCTATCACTCAAACTATGTTCAATTTTACTTACGAACCCAGTTAAGAATTGTTTTTTTGTTTTTATTTTTTAATTCACCAGTGACAGAGGAGGAACTGGGGCTTTTGCCATGGAAAATGGTAGCAAATTACACATTTATGAGACATAGATTCCTATAAGAGCTTGGCTTTCTTAAATTATGAGAAAATGAGAGAGGAACTACACAGTTCCCAGTACTCTCCTCCAGTGTCAGGCTCAGGAGCCGTCTGGGAGAGTCTAGGCCGGGACTGCATCTGTGTAACATCAATCCATTCACACGCACCCGTGAAAAGGTGAACAGTCAGGGCCAGCCAAATAGCTCAGCGGATTGAAGTATCTACAAGCAGGTACAGGGGCCAGGGGTTCGATGTCCGGGCCTGCTGTGCCGACCCCGCCCCAAGGACACACTGAGATGGCAATTGAGACTGGGCTTGGTGGCGCATGCCTATAATCCCAGCTCTTAGGAGACTGTAAATAGGCAGATCACTATGAGTCCGATCTAGTAGTGAGACCCTGAACACCCTGTACACCCCTCCCTAAATACAAAAAAAAAAAAAAAAGTTAACAGTCACCAGCATGCAGCATGTAACATCTTCCCACAGACCTCAGCAACAGGACACTGTGGGATATGTAGGATGACACTAGGCATCAGCCACAGTATAAAGATTTAAAATCATAACCTCCACTTGATTTTATATTTTTGAGTATACATGAATCACTAAAGAATATTATAGGTACCCCAAATGCAGGCAAAACTCATTTTAAATTCTTTCATGAATGTATTGGCATCTATAATTGCCACAAAAAAACCTACACATATTTACAACACACAATTTACTAAATTCTGACATGTGTTCACCCGTCACATTATCAGCACCATGAAGAAGTAAACATTTCCTCCTCACCCAAGGTCTCTCAGTCCTCTCTGTGACCAATCTTTCCATCCACCACCCCCATCTCCAAGCACCCTGGAATCTCTCTGTAGTTTTTTGTTTGGTTTTTATTTTTTATGAGGGTATTTTGTTTTGTTTTGCTCTGCTTTGTCTTTTTGAGACAGGGTCTCACTATACATTTCAGGCTGGCTTTAAACTCACTTTGTAGCCCAGGCTGTTCTCAAGTTCACAGTGATCTGGTGATCCTCCTGCCTCGACCTCCCAAGTGCTGGGACAAGAGGCTTGCGCCACCACACCCAGCTCTGTACAATTTACTGTAAATCAATTATACCTCAGTAAAGCTTGGGGAGGAAACCCTTGATAAATCACATGATACAAGTTGAAATAGATGAAGATGGGAAGGTAACCACTAGGATAAAATCTGGAAATACTCCTAAACAATGAAACACACTTATACACAAGGAAGACCAGCAACACCGCCAAAGTTAATGATGTAAGCAGTGGCTCCCAGCGTACATCCAAGGAACCAGCACTGCTTCCAGGGTTCAGAAGCCCAACGTTATTTTATTCTAATGGTAAGAAGCTATTTGCCTTTTCAATTCTTGTGTGTGTGTCTGTGTGTGTATTTTTAGGACAGGGTCTACAGGGTCTCACCATGTAGGTTGAACTCCTAGTAATTGGCCTGTGTTCAGCCTCCCAAGAGCTGGGATTATAGGTGTGTGAAACCACGCCCAGTCTCACCTGCTCTCTCAACTTAGGCCAGCCACTTCATCTGCCTAAACAGGCAAGCAGCAGCCAGGCAGGCACTTTAATCCGCTGAGCTGTTTGGCCAGCCCTCTGTCTTTTTAATTCTAATTTCCTCAAGAGTACTTCCCCATGGGCTAACTGATATAAACAAGCACTCACTGCAGAAAAAGATACAGGGCTCCAGCTGCATTCTAATTTCATTAAAAAGATTTGAAAAACTAAGTGAATGCCAGTTTCCATTCATTTTTCTGATTTGAAAGTATTTTTCACTAAAAATTTAGTGTAGGTTGACATGCATCGGGTATATGTTATTTTTAATTTGCAGTAACAAATGAGCACCATTTAATTCCTGAAAAGGACAAATACTAGTAACTAATATCTATCCAAATAATCACTGGGACCTCCATGTTGGTTACCATCAGGGACCCAACACCAGGGCCCCTGAAAGTGGGAGCCATTCCTCCCCCTTTGGGGTGTAGGCATTGCTGATCCACAGATCAAACCGGCTAATCAAGCATTTGATACAGCACTGAGATCCAGGCGCAACCTGCAGACGCACCTAAATTAGCTCACAAATCCACACCTACCAGCATACAACCCACGGGCCTGGACTGCGCATGTTCTTTCTCTTATCTCGGCTTTCTGCATACGCACTTCTATCATATTTTATACAAGGGTTGGTCTGCGACACTTTGGGAAATGTATAAAGTGGTCCCTCACTATGGAGGCATGGAGAAGCACGGAACTAGATGTCTCTTCATTAAATAGCCATCCCTAAAGCAGAATATTATGAGTAGAAACCACTTCAGCCTCGGTAACGACACTCATGAGGGCTCCCTCTACATTTACCCTGACTTTAGTAGAAATATCAATATAATCACTCTTACAATGTAAATAGGCAAAAAGAAAATGAGTAAAAAAACCAAAACATACATACCCTCTTCCATGAAGAATTTTTCCACAGGTTTTACTAATTGATTGATTTCATTAAGTTCATCTTGGCTCACCTCTGGGAATGGGAAAACTCCATTCTAAAAATGATAAACATTTAACGAAAATTAAATTTTAAGGAACCCCCCTTAATGGTAATATCAGTTGCAAAGGGAAGGGAGGAAAATGTGCTGGATTCTGGCTGGCTAGCAGAACACGGCCCATGGGAAACATTCAAAAAGCAAATCTTTACAAGGGGACTCAAGACCTAGAAACACTTAAGAGATGAGTAGCCTGGCTCAGGCTAGTCAAGGTAAAGATGCCTAAAAGGGGCAGCCAGATTCCCAAGATGACCTAAACATGGGGAGGAGGGTGCTGCCAGTATAAGAACTATCAGAGTAAAAGGGCTCAAAGGTGCTTCCAGGAGTTCAAGTGTAATAGCAGAGTTCCCATTCCTATGATAGGGGCTGGAGAGATAGCTCAGTAGAATGAGTGCTTGCCTGGCAAATACAAGGTCCTGAGTTCAAACCCTGGTACCACCAAAAGAAAAAAAAAAAAGAAAGGCCAGTCCATTCCTATGATAAAGAAGGCTGCTGGGAAGAGAAAAACTGAGTGGAGTCAGGAGTGCATTTCTCGATATACTAACCAGTGGTGCTTAGTCGATAGTCAACTGGAGCTTCTAAGCAGAAAGGTAGCCATAGAAAGAACCTGGGAGCCAAGTGTGGTGGGACATGCCTATAATTGAAGGACCTAAGAGGCTACAGCAAGAGGATCTCCCATTCAAGGGCAGCCCATTCTACATGGCGAGACCCTGACTCAAAACACAAGTCTGGAGCTTAAGGGAGACATCTCAGCTGGAAGAACCACTTTGAGTCATCATGATATAGATGGTATTTAAAGCCATAACCTTACACTGAGCCATCCAGGGAATGGTTATAGTAAGAAGTCCACAGACTAGCTTTGGAAAACCCAAGTGGGAAACACTGCCCAGTGTCTAGACACTGAGGAGCCAAAAAGAAACCAGAACAGGAGACTGAAAGGAGAAACAGTGGTTTTTCAGAAGCTACATGATTAAAGTGTGTCCAAGACAGTGCAGTGTTGATTGCATCAGATGCCAGTGTTAGGTAAGAGGTGACCTGAGAACACAGCCCTAGACTTGACAACACTAAAGTCACTACTGACTGGCAAGGACTTGGACCAAATAGTGCAGCTTCAAGATCCAACAGAAAGGAAAACTAGTTTAGAGAGAAGAGACCAGCTCCTGGGGTAAAATTGGACAACTATGGGTTAAATGCACAGCTAAGCTGCTTTGGAAAACTGATAGCAGCTGAGCTCCTGGAAGAGACAGATGGGTTTAACCCCAGCCATGTACAGGTTCAGCTCTGAGGTAAGCACTGGTGAAGCACAGCAGATTTGGTAAGGCCTGTGTGAAGTTCCTGCCTCCTTGATCACTGTTCATTTCTTTTTTAATCATTACTTTTGCTTCTGTACCTTTGCTTTGCACTGATTTACAATGAAAAATTGTCCTGTAGGATAGAAACAATATAAAAGGGGAAACAGGGCTTTGTTCTGGGCTCTCAGTTCAACAGTAGTCTCTATGGGGATGCCAGCAAAAAATTGCTATTTGGCCTATTACTCCGTCTTTTTTGTTTTTTTTAAATTTTATTTATTGATGTGTGTGTGTGTGTGTGTGTGTGTGTGTGTGTGAGAGAGGCCAGCTCAGCCCACCAGGGGGCGGGGCTGGCTGGCACGTGGTGCTGGGGGATTGAACTGCAGTCCCTGTGCTTTGCTAAGCTTGTTCTAAGTAGGTGCTTTAGACCACTGAGCCATCTCACCAGCCCATATTACTCCAAGTCTTGTCAGTTCTGTTGGAGACTCCTGTGCACTCTCCCGCTTTGGTTTAGATGGGACAGGACAGAATTACCCTTGAGGTGAGAAGGCTGGACTCTAATGACTGGTGGGCCTCTGCCAAGAACAGGCAGCTCCCCCACAGAAGGGAATGGAGGTGACATGGGCACATATGAGAAGAAACAGGTTACCATGGAAATTCTCACCACTGCATGTATATGCTCAGTGAAATGGGAAGAGAGGATGACAGAAGCAGTGAGGGAGGGGAAAGGAGGACCAAGGCCCAAAGATTAGATGAGGTACCAAAGATTTGAGTTCTTTTACTCTGGGAAAACTGGTTTCCTCCTCTTGCACTTTTTGTTTGGGGGTTTTGTTTTGGTTTGGAGACAAGTTCACAGCACGCAGTCAGACTTGCCTTGAACTCACTATGGGGCCCAAGCTGGCTTCAAATTCACGGCAAGCTTCCTGCCTCAACCTCCCAAGTGCTAGGATTACAGGTGTGCACCACCACACCCTGTAGTTTCCTACACTTTTAAAGTCCAAGATCTAAGAGAAGCCAGGAAATAACTCCTCCTGCCAGACAAGCTCAAGCTGCATCCTGGGCAAGCCCAAAGCAGGGCACCTCCAGGAGATGCGCACTGTCGTATTCCTACTTGGTCAAGCACTGAGGCACAGAGAAGGGCAGCCCCGGCCCAAAATAGTAAGAACTTACAAAACTAGTAAGTTCAGAATCATCCAGCCAAGATGAAACACGATCTCTGACTCTCAGAGGATGGTGAGTGCCGCAGGTGGCTAAGTCCTGGGACTTCTGAAACGGATAGCCAGATTTCTGAGGAACTCCCAACCACGGAGTCAGGCGGTGGGGCTCAGCTGCAGATAAAAACTCCAGGAGCCCCTTGGAAGGTGTGGGGAGAGGCCTGAACAGAGCTTAATATAGGAATGAGAAAGGACACCCAACAAGTTTCAACAAAGGTCGGGTAGAAGGCACCGTAGTAATCGCCGGTGTCGGCTTTCCCAAACTGCCCGGATGAGAAGCAGCCGCGATTCTGTCCAAACCACGTTTCCCAGATCGCCTCGCTACGTGAGAGTCCACGCTTTCCCTGTGGACGCCTGTGTGGAATCCAGAATCCAAATTTTTAGGCCGTCCTGCCCCCCCTCAGAAGTCCGTCGGCTGTCTGGGGACCCTGACAAAACTCACCCCACTCTCACCTGAGGACGGAAGGCGGGAGCCACAGAGCAAGGGTCGCGCGGTCTGGCCTTACCTTCTCAATTTTGCCCAAGCAGAGCTCCTTGGCGAAACCTCGACTGTGCGGACTGGTGCGCAGCGGGCGTCGACTCGCCGTGAGGGCCACCAGAGCCCGGCAGGCTCGGGCCGCAGCCGCCCTGCGCAAGAAGAACCCACAGCCGCTCATGCCGACCGCAGGCGCCCCTAAGCCTAAGCCACCTACTGCCTGCCCTGCGCGCCAGCAGTAGAACCTGGTCGGTGCGCGGGGTGATGACGTCACCGGGCCGGCGCGCCGATGCGCTTGCGTGGCCACGCCCCCACCCCAAGTCAGGGACTTGCCAAGGTTCTTGATTCCGTTGTGGCCGCAACTGGGGGAGTTCTTTTTATTAAAATTCCAACAGGTGTTGGCGTTAATTCTTCCTAGCGGAAGCCCACCTGCCTCTCTGTTGCCTGTACTCTCTGTTGCCTGTACCAGGACAAAGAGATGGTTAGAAAGCAAAACAAGGGAGAATGTCACGGCTTCACTGGATTTGAAGGAAGCTCAGTACAGCAATGTGCCCTGTTTTAGGGGTATAGTCCACGTGTGGCAGTTAGGTTATTTTGCTTCCTAGCTTGCGTTCATGTTTTTGGATGAGGAAAGAAAAGGGATCTCCTGCCACCTCAAGGTCTGCATGAAACTAAGCCCCCACTCGGCCAGGGAAACAACTACCTTAAAAGGCAGGGGGGAAGGAGAGCCTAGCTAGGCAGGGTGGGTGGGGCTGCACGGGGGCGCCGGTGGGAGCGGGAGTGACACTCCGAACACCTTCAGCCAGCCTGCAGGAGGACCGCGGCTCCCTGCCAGGCCCTCTCGCTGTGCCTGTTCCCAATGATGGCATTAGCTGCAGCGTGGGAAAGTGCTGCCCGCTCCCTCCCTGGCAATCCGGCAGGCAGTCCGGATCATCTGCTGAGAGCTGCCCATCAGGAAAAGCCTTTCCGACTTTCTGGGCTGTTGGCAATCAGCTGAGGGTTCTTTTGCCAAAGTGCTGCTCCCTTCAAGTTATTGGTTCTGAGATCGCAGGGTCCCAGCTCTGAGTCCTGCGTGCAAGGCTTAGCTCCCAGTACTGTATTAATGCTCTTGGTTATTACAGTTTTCTTTCTGTAACCACGTTACAGCCCCTGGCAAATGCCTGCCACCCCTATCAATTCCGCCGCAGCTGAGGCTTGTAGGCCTTTCTGCAGCTTTCTTGGAACCTTCGAGGCCTCTCTGAGGTGAACTGCTGCTGCCCCTCACTTCTCTGCAGCACTTCCCCCACACCACTACTGAGGTGGGCAGCGTTTCTCACCCGAGGCATCAGGCATCACCTGACTCCTGGACTAGAAGTCTCCAGCCTTTCATCTGGGCCTCAGCTTTTCTAAGGCAGTCTCAGTCCCAGGGCTTCACCTCCTCTGCCTTGGCCTTCCCTGGCAACCTGGGGTCTCCCACTCCACCTCAACTTCTGTCCTGACTGGCAATCTCAGGCCTTGCCTCAGCAGCCACAGATCTTTGCTTCTTTGCACTGCTTCCAGTCTCCATGCCTCGTAAGGGTTCAGAACCCCCAGTGTTGCCAAGCCTGTTTTGTGCCGCCTGCAGGACCTCCTGAGTGAGACCCCTGTGAGGACCTGTGCAGCAGCATAGGGCGGGCGCTAGCAAGAGCCCTGAGCTGACCACTGCCTGGAGCAGAGGGCAGCTGCCTGTGCAGAGGAGTGTGCAGCACATGCACGTCTCCCGCCTCTTGCAGACCCCCCCCCCCCGGTTTTGTAGAATAGTGTCAGAGAGCACAGAGCCGTCTGGGCCAGGTCTGCTTTTCAAACCTTTTGCAGCCAGAACCAGTAACTTCTGGAGAATCTGTGGTATCTAGGGCAGCCTCAGCTGTCATGATAGAATCTGTCACATAATGGTGCTCCCACATAAATTACAAGGCTAAAACAATGGCTGCTTTGATTCCTGTAGCACCTTCAGGAGAAACTGTAGTGCTAGTCATGACCTGCCAGGGTGGAGGGAAAGGGGGAGTCAACAATGGGTCCCAGGGCCTCCCCACTCTTTCATCTTAGGCACCATTTTTCATTTGCTCCTATGAGAGACAGCAGCAGTCCCTCGAGCAACAGGGGTGTAACTCAGATTATGCCCCTGTATAGCTCCCAAGGATAAGGCTTTGTTGCTCTCTGGTTGCAAAATATTTTCAAGCGTCTTTGGCAATCCCTGTGTTCTAGCTTATCTTGTCTTCCCTGTGAAACACTTGGCACCTGATTTCCTTATCAGTAGCCAACTGTTGCATAGCTCAGTATTCATCTGGACAACAAAACAGTTATTGAAAACAACTACGGGCTGGGCTGGGGAGATAGCTCAGTAAAATAAGTGCTTGCCTGGCAAGTTCAAGGTCATGAGTTCAATTCCCCAGTACCGCCAAAAAAAAAAAGAAAAGAAAAGAAAAAGAAAGAAAGAAAACAACTACCGGGGCTGGAGAGATGGCTCAGTGGTCTAAAGCACCTACTTAGAACAAGCTTAGCAAAGCACAGGGACCGCGGTTCAATCCCCCAGCACCACATGCCAGCCAGCCCCGCCCCCTGGTGGGCTGAGCTGGCCACACACAAAATAAATAAATAAAATTTAAAAAAAAAAAAACAACTACCTTTGTGGATTAACCCCGTGGGTATTGCAAAGGCTGTATATCAAAATCAAGTTGCTATATAATGTGAAACAACTAGTCAGGTGAAGTAACGTAATATGTCAGATCCCATTTACTCTACATACGTGGCTCTCCTGGATAACACGCTTGAGAAATCTAGTGGCTCATTCTGAAAACAAAACTAGAAATAGGGCCAGGGATTCAGCTCAGCAGCACAGTGTGTGCCTGGCAAGTATGAGGTCCTGAGTTCGATTCCCAGTACCAAAAAGAAAAACTAGAAACACTTTAAGGCATAATTTCTAAGTACCCTCATAGAGTGTTCCATTACTCCTCCAATTTCTAGGCTGTTTCCTAATCTGTAAAAGGAAATTTGGTGTATCATTCTAACTGCTGTGGGAACTAACACACTTGAAAGCACACAGCCCAGTAAATCAGTGTCTCTCCTCTAATAGGCTAAAGATAACAAGGGGTTAGTATCAGACTTCCATCTCAGACTTGAGTATTAGTCTCTGAGAAATAGGAAGCTGTTAAACAACTCATTTCTAACATAAAGTATCCCAGCCATGTGTGGTAGCACATGCCTGTAATCTCAGCGCTTGGGAGGCTGAGGCAGGAGGATCATCTCATCAGTCAAGCCCAGCCTGGGCTACATAGTGAAACCTGGTCTCAAAAAGACAAAAATAAATAAGAAAATCAGGAACAATATAGTCACCCTGGCTATGGGTCCATCATGATTCCCAGGCAGATAATTAAGCACCAAGCACTGGCAACAATCAAGCACAAGCTTTATTATTGAGCCGATCTGAAGATGGTGGCAATGGTGGGTAATATTTAACGAGCCCTTCCCAGGCTGTATTTTCTGATTCAGTCTTCCAGACAAGCCAGAGGATTCCATAGTGTTGAGGTCCACTTTAGGGTGACCAAGCCAGGACGCCACCGGCCTGGCTCTCAAGACAGCGTGTTCTCGTGTTCTCGTTTCCCCCACTCTACCACCTCCCTGAAGATTTAAGCAAATAAAGGCTAGTCTTTGTAGGGAATGACAAAGGGTCGAATGGCCCTAACACTACGGAGCCCCAAGCGCCTGTTTCACAGCCCCCCACGCCAACTCCTTTGTAAAGTAGGATTGACAGCCTTGTAGAGAGTTTTACACAAAGCAACACACACATCACTCACGAGACTGACTACCGGGTCCTTTCGGCCTATTTTTTTTTTTTTTTCTTCTTCTTTTTTTCTTTTTTTTGGCAGAACAGGGGATTGAACTCAGGCACTTGCGCCGGCCATTCTTAAATCCCTTTAACTATTGTTCACGTTTTACCCACTGTGCACAACCTAACGGAGAAGACATTTACTCGGTCACGGATGGAATCCACGGCTGGCTGGGCCCCAACGCAGAATCCAGCGCGGCACGGTTGCTGAGCTGAGCGGAGGAAAGTCTCTCGCAGCCCGGAAGGGAGAGAAGGGCGGAGCCAGGGAGGGGCTTGGCCTCTCCAGGCCACGCCCCCCGACCAGACGACCCCCCCCACTCCCCACTTCCTGACAAGTCAGCTGTAAACCCCCGCGCTTCAGTCACCTCCCAAAAGCCCCATGCCTGGGAGCACACCGTAACAGATACTGTGCTGCATCCTACCCTGACCCGGCTGGCCGCATCTCCTAATCAGGACTCTGGTGACAGTGTCCATCCTGTTCCTGCCCTTCAGCAAGAGAAATGATGAAACCAGTACGAAAGGTAGAGTGTCGTGGGCTTGAAGTAGCTGGCCTTGAATCCTCCCACGCCACTCACGCAGGTTCTTGGAGTCCAGCAATCCAAATGCACGGGGTGGGCGGGGGGCTGTGTTCAGCTTTTCAACTTGGTCCTTAGGATAGCAAGTTTCCAAAATCTCAGGAGAGTGGATAAAGTAATACTATGATGAACAACACAGACTGAATACCTTTGACTTAGGTTTCAAACGACAATAGAGGATAAGGCAGTGGTGGCGAACATTTTATTTTTTTTTAATTATGTTTTTATTTGTGTGTGTGTGTGTGTGTGTGTG